ACAGGAGGCAGTAAATATTTGTAGTTGTATAGTAAATTCCCAGACTGCTCCAACGTCTTTCAGGTCATTTGCAGATGGTGAAATGTAGATTATTCCCCCACACATCTTCCTTAATGCAATTTGTGGGTAAAGGTTATGAATCACATTAGTAGTCTAATTCCAGTATCGGTCATGAGTAAGCCACTTATGGATTGAAGCTTCTATAATCAGTTATAATCTGTCATAACTTGTGTTTTATATTATTATCAAATTCTATCTATGCTGAAAGTCCTAAATAATTAACATTGTGTTTCTTTTCTTTGCCTTTCAGCATGGAATGAAAATGAACAGTAGCTTACTCAAATGTCTTCAATACGTAAGCACATACTGTATATATTAGGTCACCAGTTAGTGTTGCTGAAATTGGGTTAGTGTTGCTGAAAGATGGAGCAGGAACAAGTAGCTGTAAGAAGAAGAAGGGTCCAAATGCATGGTGGTAGTACAGGGGATGGCGAGAAGGAAGGTAAGAGGAAGGCAAAGATGAACGCATACAGATATCTCTAATGAAATAACTCATGGCTTGACAATGGTGATGTACCAAGAACCTTATTAGATACAGAGCCAGGACAGTGTGGGGATAGTATAACCATGTTAGCTGCCATATCAGGTGTTGGTGTAATCGCCCACTTTCCCACCATAGGGCCCTACAACATAGATCATCTATTAGTGGTTAGTTTCTTTGGATGCTCTATACAGCAGTCTTGTAGCTGTTGATGAGTTACAGCTGTTGAAGGGTAACTTGCCAAATTATGTAGTGGTGTGGGACAATGTCAGCTCTCACCACTCTTTCATTCAAGGAAAGGTTTGCTGCACCCCAACACATGGGCATGGAATTCCTACCATCCTGTTCTCCATTCCTCAACCTCATTGAGGAGTTCTATTCTCCCTAGAGGTAGAAGGTTTACTGCCACAGCCCTTGTGATTATGTCTTTGGAGACATTAAGCTGTGGGTAATTGCAGAAGATTATTGCAGGGAATAGGTGTGACAAGCAAGACAGTTTTACCCTTGTTGCATTGAAACAGAATTCATAAGGTACAATGTGGATAAAATCTGTAGGCTAACCATAAGGAGAGACTGAATGCCCAGTGACATGTGTACAGTTGATCATTTGCTTCTCTTTCTCAAACACGTTCATTTGGTTTTCATTTAGTTGAACCATTTGTTTTTGCTGATTTTCTGGATTCATGCACTGTAACCATATTTACAGCATTGCATTGTTTTACTTAATGTATAAGCATTGGTTTAATTTTATTGAATGAATACTGTTAGGATTTGTTAGGTTAAATATATAATTTTTATTTTTTATATTGTGTGGGAACGGCCTTATTTACATCAAAACTATTGAAACAGTAATTACACTTTCAATGATATCCATTTTCAGTTGGACTGTAAGGTAGAGGAACATGCTCTTAGGGTAATATTGATGTTGACACTTCATATTTTGTATGGCACTGTCTAAACATTGAGAAAGAGAGCTTCCCATTTACCAACACAGTTGTACTGTTTCTTAGACTTATTGGATTTTGAGCTTTGTGTTAGATATACAGTATAGGGAATTTTGCACTGATTATGTGTTATTTTGCAAACTGAAATAGAGGATATCTGTTCACTGTTTTGACAATGTCAATGCTGTTTCCCAAACTGCCTTTAAGCCATTGACAAAAACTGTAATGTCTAAACATCAGAGGTACACTTAGCTTGCTATGCAACAGGAACCACTGTGATATTTTGGGAGCTTGCAAGAGGAGTCACCGAGTGCTGCATGTTTGCAATTTAAGGAATAATAGTTAGAAATAGCACCCCTAGGAATTGAACCCAAGGCTCCAGCACTGCAAGGTGGCAATGCCAGCCATAGAATTTAAGAAAGCCACATGAAAGGAGCTGTTTTGTCAAAGGTGCTATGTTGGTCTGCGGATAGTTAAGAGCTTGGTTGAAATGAAACTCTGAAGAGCAGACATGAGGAGTGCATCCCTCCACAGTATTCAATAAATGTTATGTGGAAAAACATCTTGCTGTTTTTGTTAAACTTTTTGAATGATTAGCTGGTTTTATGTCATTTCATCTGGGTGTGCAAAAGATACTGTATAAATCCACAAGAAATGTTAATGTAAGGAACCATTAGGCTTGTCTACTTGTGAAGTGCATTCTTTATTCATGTTCTTCTCAGTAGGATGCTAAAGCAGCCCAGTACATATATTAAAAAAAAAATCTTTATACATTCATTGTATGAAAACATTTCTTGTAACCAGGCACTAATATATGTTTCCTACTTGTCTTTTCCACAAAACTGGAATGATGTTTGGCAAACAATTTCAGCTTAAGTCATTCCTGTTTATGAAATAGAAATCCATTTTGATGTAGGTCTACAATTTGATCTAAACTTCATGTGCTGTTTAATTTGATTTCTATTCTTCTATTCCATAAAAATACTGTGTAATCTATCTGTGATTGTTTGGAAAACATTAAAGATTCTGCACACAATATAAGGGGCACTCATACCAGGGCAATGTAACATAAAAATAGTATCAGTAATGAGCACTGAAGTTCTGTTTTTTTCCCCCATCATTTTATAAGTGTCTGTTAGAAAGAATTCAGAATTTGCCTATCAGCCTGCTTTTTTCCATGTCCAATGGTCTTCCTCTTCTGTACTGTATTCCCCATGGTAGATACCAGGAACTGAAAAGTATTTACAGTATTGTATGCATGGCAACCAATTACCACTCCACATTGAATCACTGTCAGTGCTGATCCATACATCATTCCAGCCAGAACTGCCTATGTCAGATTACAAATTGCTTTTACATAATGTACCTCTGGACTGGCACACGTGTCAAAATACATGATCTCTGGAACTATCCATTTCTTGAACGGGGACACTTGTCTCAATACTTTTAAACCTGCACTGTACGGCACTGAACCATGTTGTTTTGTCTGCACTCACATGAGGTAATTGAGCTGCTTGTTTCTAGCAAGCAACGAGGTAAACAGTGAAAAGATATCTGCAGAGCCCCTGCTCGGAGGCATATGGGCAGTTCACTCAGCTGCCATGGCAACATGATTCTACAGAATGGCAAACGTCTATAGCGTTCAGCTTTTCACTCTGCCTCTCACTTGTCATGGAATGTAGTACATACTCTAATGCTAGAAACATTCTTTTTATGAGGGGTATTCAGTATTAGAACAGCATAGAGGCTACAAAATCAATGAATGTAGGAAAGAGGAGATCTGATGAGCAAAATTTTCCCTCAGTTTGCCACTTAACAGTACCATGAACCGTTGTTTGCATTTTCCAACATCTGCATTCAATTTTCTTTCTCTACTTAGCTAACTTAATACAGTTGAGGTTTTGATCTACAGTATCTGAAACTGACCCATTTAAACTAGAGTGCCTGCATCTCTGTGCACTGAATATTGATCCTGTCAGATTAGGAACTGCAAACTGCTTTACATATGATCAGAAATGAAATTAAAAAAGAGACATTCTTTGCATTTTTCCAATGAAAAGAAATAGGTATGAACAGTACAATCTATTAGAATGTAATATTGATTTATGTAATTTCTATGATCTAATTCAAAATTAGATCAATGCAGATGTTGATTATAATGTTCATTATATGTGTTTTAAAATTTTAAATAACAGAGAAAAATGTAACTTTGTAGCTTCTTTCCATTTAATTATAAACAATTTAAAATGGGATCTAAGAAAAAATATAAACTATAAACTTTGGATACCCACCAGGTGTCCACAACAGAAAAAATATTCTAAAGCTATATCACCCTCCAACTCACAACTGGCAACCCACTGAAGCCCAGCAGGTGTGAGCCTGGTCAATACCTGGATGGGGAGACCTCCTGGGAAAAACTGAAGTTGCTGCTGGAAGAGGTGTTAGTGGGTTCAGCAGGGGCTGCTAACCCTGCAGTCTGAGTGGGCCCTAATGCCCCAGTATAGTGACAGGGACACTGTAAAAAGGTGCTGTCCTGCAGATGAGACAAAACCAAGGTCCTGACTTTCTCTGGTCATTAAAAATTCCACTGCATTTCTCGAGAAGTGTAACCCTGGCGTCCTGATGAAATTTCCTATTGGCCCTTACCAATCATGGCCTCCTAATAATTCCCCATCTCTGAATTGGTATCATCATTCTGTTCTTCTCCCCACCGGATAGCTGGTGTATGGTGAGTGTAGTGGTGCCATTGCATCATCCAGGTGGGGCTGCACATTGGTGGTGGAGGGCAGTCCTCATAACCTGTAAAGGGATTTGAGTGGATTGTCCAGAAAAGTGCTATATAAGTATAAGGAATCTTGAGATACACATTAAATTTAGAAAATTTGCTGAATAAAGTTGTCAATAAGGCAGATATTTCAAATAAAAAAAAGTATCCTTGATCTTACCACCCCCTTCACTCTACCCATCTTTAGTTCTACATTTATTTTTTTCAATCTTATTCTGCTGGCCACACAGCTGCTCCTTCTCTTGAAGTGTGACTATATACAACAACCTTCCGGCATCTATCGAAGACCCACTTTGTTGTACCCCACTTTAAGGTCGTCATACAACTCTTTATTACTCTTTATTCTATTTCACAGTTCATTAACTGCAAGCCATGTTGGATAATGGCATCAACTGATTAATTTAATAACATTGCACGTGATTCATAAAGTAACACTTTGTACTCACATTCCACATACAGGGATTGCTGAAACATTATTAAAGAAGAAAACAGATGTAATGAAAAGAGCCTTAAATTATCAATCTTCAGTTCAAATAATGTCTGCTGGTTTGGATGCTGGTGAGACTTTCCCAAAGCTATGATCCATCTGAATGATCCAGGACAAATGCACTTGAATTAACACAGTACTTAAAAGGGCTATGTTTTGTCAAAGATGTGTTTTTTTGTCAGTGCACCACTATTGTGTTAATCTGACAAGGCAGAGACAAGAAGACTATAACACTTTTGAGGCTTTCAATAAACTCATTTATTATTTTCACACAATGAATAACATATGAACAAGGTCAACTTTATTTTATTTTTAAGTGCTCTATACTGCTAACCAGGAAATGGCAGCAAAAGAATGAGCTTTTCTTTAAGAAAAAAAAGGAAAAAAAACAACTAGATCATGAACAAACATGACCAAAAGCATGCCAGCATATATATATAAATATATACGTATGCAATTTTTACCCAATATATACCTATATATATATGCCAAATATTTGCAGTTTTAATATCCATACAATGTACAAAAATGCTTCATGAATTAAAAATCCATTACAAAAAAACATATCAAACAATGTACAAGTTTTTCCTCCGAATTTAATTAAAATACAAATAACTTTCCCCTTGTCTAAAATATGTATACATACAATCAAGTAGAACATGCAAAAAAGAAAAAAAATCCACTCTATTAAAAAGAGGTTAAAAAACACTATGTATACAAACTAAAATATGCCAGCACAGTCAGAGCTCCAATTGTGCTCCTGTAATGTACATTGTTACATTTATTTTTCTCAATACTTCATTTGCACTTTATGTCTGAAACAACAGCATTGTTTAAAAACTTAAAAACACTTTGATGTATATGCAACCTGTGTTAACATGAGCAGTAATTCTGATATTCTTACATTTTCACTTTAGTGTTTCACAGTCAGGTAAGACTTCAGCTCTGTGTAGTGCCAATTGCCTTCATAATACAAGGTAAAGCAGTTCAAGACATATTCATCACATATGTACAGTCTGGTTTATCTTTCCATTTTCTTTTTGAAGCTTAAGAACCAGGTAACAAAAACACTTTTAAGCTTTAGAAGGCACCGGTATTTCGGCTGGTAGAGTACAGGTATCTGGTATTTCAGGCTTCACACAGCAACATAAAATTACTTTTTTTTTCAGAGAAATCCTTTTTTTATGCTGGCTTAATGACTAACCATCTCTGCTGTCTCTGTACCAAGAGTGTCTTGTACTGCCACAAATAATAGTAATGCTTTAATGGTTGTGATTTTTACATTTTGGTTAGAGTAGAACATTCAAATTTAGCTTCTTTCAGAAATGAACCATGAAACCCAGTTAGAGTGGTTTGATATAAAATACTTTGACATGGTTTTGTAATGGAAATATTTTAGTCTTTTTTTGGCAATGTCTCAGAATGAATCAGTCCAAACCCATGTAGGTCTACAAGCCTTGCATTTGTACAACTGACAGAAGAAATAGCTGCTAGCTTGTTTATTATTGGCTACGAAACTACACAATTCAACTTTAGTCTCAGCAGTGCTCAGCTCATTTTAGGCTGTATCCTGCTGGAGCTATAGCTGGACACCTTGACAGGAACCATTATGCAGACCCACGTTTCTGTAAAACACAGTTTGCATTCATGCAGTCAGATCCAGTTTAATTACACTATTTACAATCGACTTCTAGATTAATTAAACTTCAGATTAAGGCTCTACTGCAAGAAAGGACTTTCTGACCCTTTGCAGTAATAGTTGCAATGATAGTCACTTTTTGCACACGTTGCAAATTATTATTATTCATTATAATTTTTTTTTTACATTTATTGTTTTCTTGAAATTAAATAAGACCACTTATTTATCTTTGTGAAAGGGTGGACCCAAAACAGAAAGCTGAATTTACAGATCAATTCAACAGTTTGTTGCAAAGTCACAATCCACCAGCAGCGTACTCATATAACCTGATGCATAGCACATAGAAGAAGTGGGGACGCCACACAAGACACAGCCTAGGGATTAATACAATCATGGGAGGAAGCAAAGGTATGAGGGCAGAGGTTTGCAGCTGCAGTCCTGGAGGGCTGCAGGGTCTTCTGAATGCTGTTCCACCTGAGCTCTTTGCTGCCTAATTGAAATATTAACTTATTCAGATCAGCTTTGCCTTTTTCCCAGCTCTTAAAATGTGGGCCATTAAACCACAAATCCTGTTGGACTGCTGCTGCCCCGAAGGAATGAGGCTGTGCACCATTGACCAGGGCCCCTGTGTAATGCTGGATAGGACAACTAGAATCCACGCTAAAAAAAATCACTTTTGTGATCCATTGAAATGATTTACAAGACTTTCCATCTTATAGCTGTCAACAGTACAAAAACAAAATTAAGGTTTCATATTAAGCTATATAAAAGGACTACTGTCTTAAATCAATGTTTTTCAGGCACACTGAGTTGGAATAAAAATTCTGAGTATAGGATAACTTCTCCCTTGCTTGTATAATCTGCGCAGATAATTTTATGCCTTGGGAAACACACATAAGGCACATCAACAACTGCTTTCAGACTACAGTACTACTGTTTCCCAAAAACTACAGAGCCTATAAGGAAATGCATTAACTTAATGTCATAAACTATACATCATTTCTGTTGATTGTTACTTTCCATATGTGGCCACTGGACACATCAACACAATACTGACCTAAGTTCATAATGAATGTTTCCCTAAACAAGAGTAATTTGCCAGCTTTCACGGAAGAAAGTATATGCAAAACATGAAGCATACCATATTTCCAAACAGCTTCTCTTTCTGTTCGTTTCTAGTAAACAGTGCTTTTTCACTTGTTCTTTTATTATTGCCATTTTGCCCTGGTATATTGGGTGTCACAGAGACCGCAAATCATCTTTTAACCCCCAGCATTACAACACAAATAGCAGACAAACTTTGGTTACTATACTTGAAAACTTTCTGGTAACTACACTTACAAAAGTTTACTGTAATTCTTCTGGTAATTTGGACACAATCATCTCTCAACAACATGCATTCTGAAATTAATGGAAGTATATACTGTATATCTTGCACCTTTAAGGTTTGGGTTTTGCCTGGGGTCCTATATAACAACATTAATATCACTGTTAATTTCAATTAATTTTGTTCCAACTATGAACCAAACAGTATATCTAATGTCAAATACTTTTTGTATCTTATTACGATACTTGATAGGTTAACTTTATAACTCCTTAAAGGTTAATTCTTAAAGTGAACCCTAGTTTTGCGTCTTCCGGATTCAGAAGTTGAAATAACTTCTGGCATCAACAGTTTTTAATCTCCTTAGCATTTTTTTCCATGCACAACTAAATATATACCAAATGAATGAATGAAAGACTTTTGAAAAAATGTATGCAGAAAGAACTGATACAACACATTTGTAAGTCCAGTGCTACTACACGGTATTCCATACCAGATTTTAACAGGAACATTTTACATTTTAAGGCTTAATTAAGGATTTAAGTGCTGATTTTATAAATAGAATTATAAATTAAATTGATTTTATTGACAGCCAAAAGCAACTGACTTTGTAAAAGAGAACCGTTTTAACACCATGTTAAAAGAATTACTTGACTGGTATTTAAATGACAGGGAATATTTTGGTTGCTCTGTTCTTATTTTTTAACTACTATGTATGTGACGTACCCACTTCATATAAATAATGAATCTGGATCCTTTTATCTGAAAGCAAACATGTCTCAAGTCACACCCATCTCTATTTTTGGTTAAAAATAATACCCAACTTTCATGTTCCAGGGTACAACACACTTCACTACTTTTTAAGCCAGTAAGTCAAAAATACTTTCTGAAACACACTGTACAGCGAAAAGGCATGTATTGTAAGAAGAAAATGTTCCTATGTACAGTCAGACCTCTTGAGTAACGAAGCTGGCATGACAGCATTCATTAGGTCTTATTATTCCAAAGTATTGCCATCCTCCCACCAGTTCAGAAAAAAAATCAATTCAGAACAGGGGGACAGAGTTCAATGAAAACAAAGATCGGTCAATGTGTTGTCATTGCAATAAATGCACTGTGCTTTAACAAAATTAGTAATCCAAGGCAAAATAACTGAAGCTGCACAGTATAAGCTAATGAATCATTGTTTATATACTTGCTGGTTAGATGTGGCAGAGCCAGAGTTAGGAGACAAACTTAAGATATAGTATGAGTGGGGCAGGATTTTGCAGGAGTCCAATACACCATGGTAGTGTCTTCAGTAGACCAAAGAAAGTAAAAGCCAACTGCAGCAGAGATGCAATGTATTTCCTGTTACATGTTGACAGGTGTATCCTGCAGAACTGACCAAGTTCTCCTTCGGAATCCTCCAAGAATGCCCATAATACTTGAATATAGAAAAAAACAAAGGCTAAAGTGCAAGGAGGATTCATTGCGCAGATTGTACGGTTGAAAAACTGGTCGATGAAAGGGCGGAGCTGCCAAGCTTTCTCCCCGGGACTACAACCTCGTCTTTCTCCATTCCTCGGCACCGTCGTGGCCGCTTGACTCGGACGTCCTCCTGGCTCTGGTGCCACCGCTTTCCGCTCTTCTGCTGCACCCTTGCCATGTGGACCACAGACTCAATCGCGTCCATGATGGAATCTTGCTTGGCAAACTCCAGAGTCTCAGGCACAACGTTCGTGCGCAGGCTTCTCTTACCAGGAAGATCAATGCATTTCTCCAGCACAGGCATTTGGCCCAAGGATTCATCATCCAACAGGACAGGCTGCTTTCTGGGTCTTCCCCTCCTCCTCTTCACAATGTTGTTTCCGGTCTTCGCCTGTCGCTGGAGCCGTTTTGCCTTCAGGATTTTGTTGACGTGGTCTAGGTTCTTCTTAGTGGAAAGGATTTTGGAAAAGGTGCACATCTTGCGCACTTCACACTGTATCTCCTCAATTTCTTTCCGTTTAAACCTCTTCTTCAAGGGTGGGCTATTATCTAACAAAGAAAAGAGAAAAAAATGGTAACTTGCATCAGAAAGGAAATGATGGCTAAGTTAAAACCTAAAAGAGCTCCAGGTTTTCATTCCTCTTTTATGTTTTTATTGTTCTGGGAAACCAGGAGTTTCATATTGGTTTGTATTATTACACACTTATTTTATGCTTTAAAAGCACAACCACAGCAGTGTATTACATACAGAGACTATATACTGTATAGTAGCAAAGAGAATGCAAGTTCTAAACTGAGACAACAATTAAACAAACTGCAATAAGAAAAGTACATTTTTGTCAACTTTACTTAAATACAGTAACTACGCACAACACTGTTATTTTTAAACAAAACAATGCTCACAAACATTTGTTTCAGTTCTTTTGCAAACAAGCCCCACAAATATTACAGCTAGTCCAAATTTGCAAAAAACTATTTGCCACATAATGGTTTTAGAAAAGGCAATCAAATTTGCTGTGAAATCATGTGACCTATCTGTGCAGCAATGTTGTTGAAAAAAAATACCATACATATGTCCTTTATCCAACACATTCGTCTTTTGTATTACTCCTCCATCCCATCTCTACCTTTGCAGCTACTTTTGGCTAACTCCTCAGTCTATGGCCAGGAGGTTGGTGCTTAGCCAGCTCTTACTATGACTCAGGACTCAAATATTTAATTCTTGGTTGTTGTTATTCCTCATGAGTGGATATTTTTGACATAATCCAACATGGCTGCCAAACACTGTGATTTACTGACAGTTCTCTCTTGAACAGTTCTAAATCTAGGGCAGAAAGGTACTTCATGGCCTATAGTTCATACCTCTACCACAACTGTCTTCAGAGAAGCAGGCTTTTAAAAGTTGTCCAAACTTCCTTATAAACTCGACATCACCACTAAATCATAACGCATATGATCTTCATTTTTGTTCTGCACCAACCTAAAATTACCCTCTAAAATCATGGCTTCATCCATGGCATGGAATTTACAAGTACTGAACACCATGGGAGAACAATAAAACACAATTACAATAGGAGTTATTAGTTATATAACCTTCAACTGAAGTCACAGGTTAAAATACAAAATATTGAAACTAGGACTCGAAGGTAATTATGCAGTTAGACTTTACGGAGAGTTCAAAAATGTTTGGCATGTTTAATGCCATTCCAAAGCTGTGGACAAAATATGAGTCTACAATACTGTAGTACAGATAAAAAATGCCATACATTGAAATACATAGAAACTGAACATAAATTAAATTTGAGTGCCACCTAATTTCACAGAGAGTGGTTTAATATTTTAATATAGATGTCAAACCATGTGACCAATGTCTTAAAAACCTATATCTAGTCTTTGGTCAAAAGTGCTGTATACACCAATATTGCTGCCATAAACTTCCTATGAAGCTCTAAAATCAAAAGATATCTTACAGAAATTGTCCAAGGATATGCGTTTTAAAGAGTTTTTGAAATATTGGCAGGTGAATGACAATAATTAACCATTGTAATAGGGTTCCAGCCTCTCATTCCTTGGTCGCTTAATTACTATTGAAGGGTTGAGGCAGAATACAACCTCTCAGTTAAAGGCGAGAAGAAAACACAGCTGTAACAAGCTTGTAGATTTCATTTCACATAAGGGAGAACAAAGACCTCTTCTGTAATGGCAGGAAATCCACAGAAATGTCTCCTTCAGTCATGTTGTTACAGTGACTTATTTCCAAACATCTGGAGTACAGATATCTACTCTTTTGAGCACAACAAAAGCAATTTCCATGTAAAGATCTCTTTAAATTTACAAACTGGCACAGAACAAGAAAGCAGAGCCATACTGTTCCTCTTACAACCATTAATTTGATATGAATTCTAGACATAATGTTGATTTCCTGTGCCCATGTTTTATAGTATTTAGCAGAGCTACCATCACGTACTTTCACTGAAAAACACAAGTAACATTCCACTCCATCAGATATTTTTTTTATCTATGTAGGCTAACAAGGGTGCTCTGTGAGTATTAAAATGATTAATAATAATATTTCCATTAAGAATGAATATATAGACTAAAATCACATAATCATAAATCATCATAAATATCTAGAGGAAAGTTTGTCACCAAGATAAACTACGAATTAAGACAGTGATTATAACAAATAAATTGATAGAAACTGAATTCAACCTATGCTTTTGTTTACTCAGATACTAAGGGATTCATTTACTTCACCTTACTAACTTTCTTAGTTCTAAAGTATGTGTAGAATAAATTATACCATAGAAATTATTTACATGAGATCTGAGTCTATAACATAAAAACATTTAAAAACTGATGCAATTTTAAAAAAGACAAAGAAAGGCTTTGAAACTCATTACAGTCTTAAATGATTTGGAAATATCCACTTGTAAACAAAAATACAAGGTCTATTTACACCTGAAAGATAATAGCATCAATATACATAATTAAACAAATATGAACCAATCCATCTTATCAGTTACCATTTGAATGTAATCAGTGTTCTCCTGCAAGCCTTGCATATAAGGGCCTGTAAATTCATGCAATAAACTGCAGGACTAAGAACTATAGGTAATTAATTTACTGCCTTTCCACTTCAGAGTTTTGGAACCCAGCCCAGACCAAAAAAGAAATTGTACTTCTACCGGCCTCATGTGGAATGAGTTCAGACAGCCTTAGCGTTGCCCTAGGATAGGTGCCAGAAAATGTATTCCACCTCTGAAATCTATCCTGAGTACACCTATCCTTAGAGAACACCCTTCTCCCCTTTATCACATTAAGTTTGGGCAGTTTTCCCAGAAAACAAACAAAACTGAGATGAATTGAACTTACTAGGCAAAAATAAAAAGCGTCAAATAAAACAAGCAATAAATTTCCAGCATAAAGAAGGTGGATATTAGAATACCTTTGATTTGTGACAAACCCAAAGTCAGCACTTTCAAAAATGATAAATTAAGAAGTAGCTGTGATGTACGGTATTCCCCAAATATTCTTGCCTGGGCGGTAAGCAGAAAAATAAGAAAGGCTGTAAACTTAAGGTTGTTTTGAACACCAAATCCTGCAGTAACAGTTTTGGGGATAAATACAAATTCTTAGCTCAGTTCAGAAATAACAAAGCAAATGCCCATTTCCTTCTTATCGACCAAATCCTAAGCTATAGCCTTATGAACGTGAATATTACCAACTATTAAAAACTCTTGAAAAAAATGTTGTCATGTACAGTATAAAAACATTTTTTCACACTCACACAAATGCCACACTCTTTAAAAATCCTTGCCTAGAGAACTAGAGATAAATGAGGTATCCATTTTTATTTTTATTGTTGTTTTTTTTCGCAGGGAGATCTCCCAACAAATTAAATGAAATCTAATCTAATGATTGCTTGGGTGTCACTAAGTCAAATGACACATGTTATTGAGGATGATACTTGAATACACCAGAACCGAGCTTTGATTGCATCAAGACTGAGAACTCCTGGGGGTGAAAAATGGAGTAGTTGATGGAAGTCTTTTGTTTCCCAGAGCTACTTTCTCCATACAAATGGAAACATAAGAATCTAAGAAAAGTTACAAATGAGAGGAAGCCATTCAATCCATCTTGACCATTTAGCTGCTGGTAACTTATTGATCTGAGGACCTCATCCAGCTGCCAGTGAGTACTGGATTTGACAGTTCACATAGTCAAGATGGGTCAAAATCTAAATGATGCTTAAATAATGAAAAACCTTTAGAAAATCTGATTTGCCAAAACTAGGAGGTCAAAAGGTACATCGGGCATCAAAGGATAAACATTCCTACGTTTATAACGCAGTTTCTCTTGTGTTATACATATTTTGAAGAAATGGATCGCTTTCAATTGATTATTATGACACAACTATTCTCAAATGACCTCCATGAATATTCTTCTCTATAGGAAGTTATTGTAAAATATAAATATTGAGCAATTTGATTTTGTAACTCATAATACAGTTTATTCACTTTCACTGTCAATAATTTTTACTTGAATAAAAAAAGATAAAAGAACTCCACTTGAACTAACAATTTTTATTATGAACCCTTGATTCTGTCAAAAATGTATTTCTTTGCATACTGTGGGAAAAGTACAGTAAATGAACAACTTCATGGCAGCTATAATTGCTTACATAATCTATAGCACCAAACTAAGCTCTTGTACAACATTGTGATCTTAACATCCTGTCAAAGGACATTTAGCAAATCTCTTCTGGCATGAATGACATTGTAAAAGGAATTCTATAAAATAGTTAAACCAAATTCACATTGTCAGAAAGATCTTAAAATTTTGTGTGGGATCAGTTGTACACAGTGGCAAATTCAGAGCTCTTTTTCATTAGCAACCTTCACCACTTTGTGAACAAATGCAGGGAACACTCATCAATAAAAATCTCCTTTATATTCTCAACAGAGCTCTTGAGTCCTATTGATTTATTTCACCCCAAATCACACAAATAATTCTTTTCAAATATCTCTATCCTAAGTGTCTACTGTACATTAGGGAGAACCTAGGGCTGAGCCTTTAGTGGTGAAGAGCTCAGTACAACCCTATGTTTTTCATACTTAGCATACTGTAGGTACAGCTGACGTATGTAAAAGACAACGCACACCATTTCCATGAATCCATGAAGAAGACATAAACCTGCCTAAACCATTTTTTTTCCCAACATCAATCAAAACATTGTCTCAGAAAAGACAATGCTAATCTGTCAAACAGGATTTCTTCCTTCTACTATTATTTGAAAGAACAATTATGAAATATCATACTATGACCATTTTCAGACCACATAAATTGCAATTATTTTTAAATAGAAATTCGTGGGCTGCAATACCTATCAGAAAAAATAGATTTTAGACATTATAGGGTAAAGGAAACATTTCTGCTGTTAAACCTATATTGGGAATACAGCATGTTCATAGCATAGGGTAGTTGTTTTGATCATATTTAATCATTAAAAATCATCAGCCTCTTGCAAAAACAAAGCATAAGGTGAA